CGGCGCCCACGGGCAAGGCCGTGCGGCTGCTGAGACGCACCGTGGCCCTGCGCTCCTGGGGAGCTGGGCAAAGCCCCCGCTGCACCCCCCGAGCTCTGGCAAGGCGCAGGGGCGCACGGGAGCGAGGCGAGGGCTCCCGGCAGGCGGTCGTGCCGCCTCAAGCCTGTCCCCAGCAGCATGGACGGGTTTGCATGAAGTTTCAGGCAGTCTCCCCGAGCTTGCCGTGAGCTATGGAGCCAAGGCTGTTCCAACGAGCTCCAGAGCACCCCGGCTGCCTCTCGGCTCTCAGCACCCGAGAGCCACGCGACAGGCACCCTCCTCTGCCCTCCAGCACCTCCCCGCTATTCGCTGAGCAGATGATGAGTAACAAACATGCTACTGATCTTCAGTGCAGCGCACACTGAATTAACTTGCTCCTGCTCATCATCCTCCTGGAGGGGATCTGCAAGCCTCTAAGGGCATTTTACAGAAAGTGAGTTCTTATACGCAGATTTTTTTTCCTCCCTGCCTGCCCCAGTTCCCCCATAGCTGTTAATCCACAACACTTCCTTTCCTTGGGGATGAGCTGACTTGGGGATAAATGAGTCAATGCTGAAAAAGGCCAAATGTCCCAAGGCTCCACTAACATCTTTTACTGGTTGGGTGGGCTGAAGAGAAAGGCACTTGGACAGATTAAACTTGGTTGAAAATCCTGGCTTTGACAGACACACTGTGTAACCTTGGCCAAGACATAAAATCCAACCATTGCCTCGGGTGAAATGGAGATGATCACTCTCTCCTTCACCAAGGTGCCAGTGGGGTAAAAGCAATTAGCAACTGCAAGGTGCTCAGTTACCAGGAGGAGAGGGGTCAGGCAAGAGGAGCCTGCTGGGTCAGTATCCTCCTGTCCTTCGAAAGCTTGATATGCAAAACTCGAGATTCTTTGGGGGAATCTGACCTAAAATAACACAGCCAAGGTCATGGAATAAATCACTGGAGTGTGGAACTGCTTAACCCTGCTCAGCAGGGCCGGCCTTGTGTCACACAGGCCGAGGAGGAGAGGGAAACCAAGGATGGAGAGAGGGGTCAGCATCCTGCAGCTGTGTGCACAGGGACCAGGAGCAGCAGAGCTGGAGGTCAGTGTTGGAGCAACCAGACTGGATGGTGCTCAGTCCAAGGGGGAGCTCCCCTGAGCCCTGGGGTCCCCTAGGCCTGGGCATTGAAGGCCAGGGCCAAACTCGCAGTGTCTGTGAGTGGGTTTTGGTTTGTGGTAGTTCAAGATGAGCTAGTGACTCATATTCATTTCATTTTTCCATTTGCAGCGCTAGTGGGGGAAGAAGCACTTCTCCCATGAGGCTCAGTCAGCTGTGGCTTCCTCCCTTCACATTTCATCCTTGAAGGACACGTCCTTCAGGCTGGACTTCAGCCTGCCATCCCTTCTACACCCTCCTCTGCTCACCCGTAAGATATTCACCGCAAGATCAGAGCATCAGCCCAAGTGCAGCTTCCTGCCTCCATCAGCAGCCAACAGTGGATAAACACAACAGATGCACTTCAGCAACTAGGCAAAAGGCTAAAAAGGGGTTAAAAAAAAGATGGAGAGAGAAAAGAAAGGAAAAAAGACCCCACAAGTGATTAGCTGATGGCCTGAAGTGTGAGATTTAATTACCCTTATCTGAGCCAGCACAGCTACAAATGTTAATCACATTATCATCCAGTGGGGTTATGTTCAAGAAAGCGGCTATGTGAGGATAGGATTTTTTGCATAGCTATCCTATTCATGTCTGTGATGACATCTTCTATGGCAAGAATAACTTATTAGTCTTCTTTCCATCCTAGGCAATTGCCTAGGGAGAACAAGATGGGTTTGAGGTTGCCTCATTCATCATGCCTGTTTTTAAACCAACTTTCCTTCCCGCTTTCTCACAGGGGTGGCTGTAGGCTCAGAAGAGCCCAGCTTGCATCTGACATAGGAACATTCACAAATAGCTCCTTCTTTAATGTGCAATGACAAAATTTAAAAATTTATCTAGAGTCATAGGGACGCAGAGGGTGCCCTACTTCCACAGTCGCTTTGGAAAAGCTAAGCACACTGTAAATCTCACCCGAGACTTTGTCTCTGTGACCTCAGACACTACTGAATTATAAAGGCTGAACTCATACTGTGTGAAGTAGCCATTACTTATGCCAAATTTACTAGTCGTTAATTTTAGGGAGTCCCCGCTCCTATACAATGTGACGGGATAAAAAGAGACTAACTTGTCTCCCGCAGACAAGACTCGTTGGGGCGAGCAGGAGACGCGGCCTCCCCATGCGCGGATGGAAACTGGGCCAGCCCGGAGCTACTCAATGGGACGGGCACGTGCGAGTGTGGATGTGCTCTCAGCTGGATCTGCACGCCGAGCAACAACGCGGGTTGCAGAGCGGCTGCTCCCACGGCGCTTGCCCAGCCTCGCGGGGGGCGACGTGCGCAGCTACCACAGCTCTGGCCACAGCGAGAGCCAGTGCCAGTGTTTTCGCTCCGTTAATAAACACCTCAACATTACCCAGCAGCAGCTCTCCCCCTTCGCTTCAAGAAAAATTAGCATTTAAATTGAGGTGTTTCAGGGAGGTAAATCACAAGCGGACTGCGGCAGGCCTGGCTCTGGGGAACCGGCGCGCCGCCCTTGCCCGGACCAGTGGCCGCCTGCTCCCCTCCCGCGGGACCGTGAGGCGTCGAGGACGGCGCAGTCCTTCCGGGGGGTGAAG